CCAAAAGCCACAGACACCCAGAGTTGGGACATGGTGACCCCAAAAGCTGCAGGCAGTCAATGCTGGGACACGGTGACCCCAAATGCTGCAGGCAGTCAGTGCTGGGACATGCTGGGAAATGAAAACATTTCATGCTTTTCAGCGTTTGCTTTCCTCCCGACTGCGAGCTGGGCTCTTGCTGTTTCGGGAGGCATGGGAGGCAGGGCGCGCATCCAAGGTGGCATCCTGACTTTCTGCGCATCCCCTTGGCATTTGCAGCTTGGGGATGTGCCGATCTCGGCAGGAGGGCCGTCCCACCCCGGCGTGGGCCGGCCGCAGAAACGCTGCGCTTCGCTTTTTTTTATATATTTATATATATATATTTTTTGGAGTGTGATTTAAGAACTTGGGCGCTTGCCCCGCTCCTCCTCGCAGGCGCTCGGGCCAGGCGGGTTCCTGCCGCTGGTGCTGCCGCAGCCCCTGCCCGTTTGCAGCGTTTGCAGCTGCTCTGGGCATGCAGCCCGAGGGCCACTGCCCGCTGCTGGTGACAGGGGCTGCAGCTCTCTGCTCTTGCCCTGGGGCACCGTGCAGCGTTTCCTGGCATGCAACGTGTGGTGCATTAATGTATGGTGCACCAGTGCATGGTGCGACAATTGCTGGTGCACCAGTTCCTGGTGTGCGATGCATTAATGCATGGTGCAGCGATCCCGAGAGTGTAGTTTTGATGCATTAGTGCATGATGCACTGAGTCCTAGTGCATTTTGGTGCATTAATGCCTGGTGCACCAATTCCTGGTGCGTGGTGCGTTAATGCATGGTGCATCAATACATTAATGCATGGAGCGCCGATTCCTAGTGTGTGACTTGTGGTGCGTTAGTGTGTGATGCACTGATCCCTGGGGCACCCGTGCATCAGTGCATGGTGCATTAATGTCTGGYGCAGTGATTCCTGGTGTACTGATTGCTAGTGCACGATGCATCGATGCATTGATGCACGGAGCAGCGATTCCTAGCGTGTGGCTTGTGGTGCATTACTGCACGATGCACTGGTCCCTGGTGCCCCTATGCAGCAGTGCATGGTGCATTAATTACAAAAGTGCAGGTTGTGGTGCATTACTGCATGACGCCCTGATTACCAGGACACCCATGCAGCGGTGCACGGTGCAGTGATTCCTGGTGCATTAATGCATGATGCATCAATGCATGGTGCACAGTCCCCATCACTTTAATTGATGTTGTGCCCCTCATTGCACTGATCCCAGAGGGTCTGCACCCCTATTATCCCCCAGCTCCCTCCCAGCTCCTTCATTAGCTGTTTTGCAGCTCATTAGCAGAGAATGCAGCTCACCCAGCCCAAATGATGCTGCATTTCCAGAACCCTCCTCTCTTCACCCTCATTTCTTGCTGTTTCTGGGGCAGAGCGGTGGGTGAGGACACCTGGCCCCGTGTGCATGGCTTGGACTCGGTGACCTTGCTGGCAGTCCCTCAAAGTGCCACCATTGCTCATGCTCCAGCCACCGAGAATATATTTATACATATTTATTTCCCCCCCTCTCCAGGGACAAAGCAATTCGATGCCGGTTTTATCCAGGAGCAACGGGGCTAAAATTTTGCATGCTTCCCCATGCCAGCTTTGCTGCCCGCACGCGGCTCAGCACCGAGGCACTGTTTCCATAGCAATTACCGTGCCGGAGCGGCCGGCCTGGAGGCTTTGGGAAGGGGATGGGAATGCCGAGACCTGCGGGATCTCCCCGGCGGGAAGATCCTGCTGGAAATTGCTGCTTTAGCCTGAATTTCACCACGTGCCTTCGGGAGGGCTTAATCCCGAGGAAATCCCAGGTGGATTCGTGGCTGCGTCCCGGCTCCCGCGTGCATCCCGGCTCTCCGGCGCCGAGCGGGATCGCATGCAGCAGGCAGCGTCCCTTGCTGCAGGGGCACTCGCTGCTCCGCTCCTTCCTGGTGCAAACTGCTGGGCCGCCGCCACCCGCAAATCCTGGCACGTCATTAATAGCAAATTATGTAAAATACAACTAATAACGCAGCGCTTGCCAGCTTAACCGCCCGTGCCGCTTGCAAGCGGGGAGGCGGAGGGCTGAGGCTCGAGCAGCTCGTGGCAGGAATGAGCCTGCAGCTCGCTGGCGAGCCTGCCCTCCCCGGGAGCTGCTCATTTGGGGGCAGAACCAGGGGATTTGGGTACAGGGAACCCTTGGTCTGGGCAGCCCCGGTCTCCTGCGCCTGTGGGCTGCAGCGGAGCTGCTCCAAGCTGGTCCGGGACATATTTCCAGGCACCCCAGGCCCCTCTTGTGCTTCCTCCGTGTCTTTGTGTCCTGCTGCCCTTGGGAAGGGCTGCAGGGAGCCAGGCGAAGGCTGCAGGCTCCAGGGAAGGTCATGGCTTGCAAGGCAGCTGCTGCAAGCCGGCCTGGGAGCACTGGTCCTGCAGGCTGGGCCATGCATACAGGTCCTGGTAGCTGGCCCATGCATTGGCTCCTGCAAGTCAGTCCATGCACCAACTCCTGCAAACTGGCCCGTAAACACTGGTCCTGCAGGCAGGCCCATGCACATGAGTCCTGCAAGCTGGTCTGTGCATTGACTCCTGCAAGTCGGTCCATGCACCAGCTCCTGCAGGCTGGCCCCTAAGCACTGGTCCTGCAGACCGGCCCATGCATACAGGTCCTGGTAGCTGCCTGTGGGTCCTGCAAGTCAGTCCATGCAGCAGCTCCTGCAAACTGGCCCATAAACACTGCTCCTGCAGACTGGGCCATGCTCACAGGTCCTGGAAACTGGTCTGTGCATTGACTCCTGCAAGTTGGTCCATGCACCAGCTCCTGCAGACTGGCCCCTAGGCACTGGTCCTGCAGACCGGCCCATGCATACAGGTCCTGGTAGCTGGCCCATGCATACAGGTCCTGCAAGTCAGTCCATGCAGCAGCTCCTGCAAACTGGCCCGTAAACACTGGTCCTGCAGACTGGGCCATGCTCACAGGTCCTGGAAACTGGTCTGTGCGTTGACTCCTGCAAGTTGGTCCATGCATCAGCTCCTGCAGGCTGGCCCCTAAGCACTGGTCCTGCAGGCAGGGCTATGCACTGGATCCTACGGTCTGGCCCATGCCTGTGGGTCCTGCAAGCTGGCACATGCATGTGGGTCCTGCAGACGGGTCCATGCATGTGGCTCCTGCAAGTTGTCCCATGCACCAGGTCCTATCCATGTATGTGGCTCCTGCAAGCTGTCCCATGCACCAGGTCCTATCCATGTATGTGGATCCTGCAAGCTGACCCATGCATGCAAGTCCTGCACCCATTGCATGCACGCGGGTCCCGCTGGGCGCACGTGGCGCTGCGCGTGCCCCCCCAGCACCTCACTCCGCTCCTCCTCCTCCTCCTCCTCACAGGTATCGAGTGTCCGCGCGGCGCCAGGAACCTGCCGGGGCTGGTGCAGGAGGGAGAGCCCTTCAGCGAGGAGGCCACGCACTTCACCAAGGAGCTGGTGCTGCAGCGCGAGGTAGGGACACGCACGGGGCACGGCGGGCGGGTGGCACAAGCGCTGCGGGCTGGGCACGAGCGCGGCCCGTTGCAATTGAGGCCGGTGTGGAGGCCGCGGAGGCTCCGTGCTGGGGAATATTGCTGCAGCGGTCACACATCGTTGCCCTTTACGGCTTCTCCCGGCACTTAGGTTTACATTGGTTTAAGGAGCCGTTATCTCCGAGGCCGCCCCGCGCGCGTTTTATGCCTTGTGTGCGAGAGAGGGAGCCGTGTAAGCGCTGCCAAGGAGGGGAGCTGGCAGAGCAGGATGCCAGGAAAGCCGCATCCTTGGCGCGTGGGGCAGAGCTGCAGGGCAGAATGTGCCCGTGCACGTGCCCGTCTCTGTGGGGGAAGCACTGCGGAGCCGGCCGCGCTGTGCGTGTGTTGTGTGCTGCGGTTGCATCGCGGTTGCGTTGAGCACTGCTGCTGCATTGCACACCGGCGTTGTGTGCTGCAGGTGCGTTGAGCACTGCGGTTGTGTTGTGCACTGCAGTTGTGTTGAGCACTGCAGTTGTGTTGAACACTGCAGTTGCACCGAGTGCTGTGGTTGTGTTGAGCACTGCAGTTGTGCTGCACACTGCTGATGTGTTGCGACACTGAACTTGTGTTGTGCACTGCGGTTGTGTTGCACACTGCATTTGTGTTGAGCACTGCAGTTGTGCTGCACACCTGTGATTGTGTTGCACACTGCAGTTGTGTTGTGCACTGCGGTTGTGTTGCACACTGCATTTGTGTTGAGCACTGCAGTTGCATTGAGCACTGCGGTTGCATTGAGTACTGTGGTTGTGTTGAGCACTGGGGTTGCATTGAACACTGCAGTTGTGTTGAGCACTGCAGTTGTGTTGAGCACTGCAGTTGTGTTGAGCACTGCAGTTGCATTGAGCACTGCAGTTGCACCGAGTGCTGTGGTTGTGTTGAACACTGCAGTTGTGTTGAGCACTGCAGTTGCACTGAGCACTGCAGTTGCACCGAGTGCTGTGGTTGTGTTGAGCACTGCAGTTGTGCTGCACACCTGTGATTGTGTTAAGCACTGCAGTTGTGTTGTGCACTGCAGTTGTGTTGTGCACTGCAGTTGCGTTGTGCACTGCAGTTGCATTGAGCACTGCAGTTGCATTGAGCACTGTGCAAGCGTTGTGTGCTGTGCTTGTGTTGCACACTGCGGTTGTGTCGACTGCCGTGGTTGCGTTGAACTCTCTGGTTGCATCACGTGCTGCGTTGCATTGTGCGCGGCACTTGTGTTGAGCTCTGTGGTTGCATCACGTGCTGCAGTTGCATTGCGGATGCAGGGCAGGTATGCAGCACATGCACGAGGGGGCATGCTGGAGCTGGGCTGGATGCCCAGGGGTGCCAGGGGCTGCCTGGTACAGGAGCTCACTGGGTGCCCGGGAAGCAGTGCCCAGTGCAGCACCAGTGCAACGCTGGCCCTGCATCGCCCCGGATAATCCTAATTGCAAGAACCGCATGCAGGGGAGCAGCTCTGATGCCCAGCAGAAGGGCTGCCCATCGCTGCCTTGGACCTTCTGCAGGACTCTCTGTCGGGGGCACAGTGTGAAGGGGCCGGTGGGCTCTGCCACGCTCCTGGGGGCAGCTCTGCGAGCCCCGAGGGCACGGTGAGGGGCTCCGAGGCGCCCTGGCCTCCCGCTGCGCTCTCGGGGCACCGCCATCCCCCGGCTCGTGCCACTTCCCTGGCTCGAGCCCCCGCGTTGCCAGCGCGCGAGTGTAATTACGCCGTGATTCATGACTTCAATATAGGATAAGCAATGCCCTCCGCAGCCCTTAGCCATCTCCCCGAATGACTGTCAAGATAAAACCGTGCGATTTATGCCCAAACGCCCGTGCGCTCGCCCGCGCTCGGCGCCTTGCCCGCGCTCGGCGCCTTGCCCGCGTGGGCGCTGCGCGCTTGGCCGCAGCTCGCCGGCGCTCTGCAGCCGTGCAGCCGCTTGCAGCGCCCGCGTGCGGGTGGAAGGGGTGAATTTGCAGCGCTGGTCGTGGTCGTCGTGGCCACCTCGGCGTCTGCAGGCGCTTCGGGGGGTTCTCCAGCTGCAAGTGCAGCTGCCTCTGCAATGGGGCTGCGGTGGGAGCTGGGGCGGGAATGATGGAGCTGGGGCAGGAATGAGGGGAGCTGGGGCAGGAATGAGGGAGCTGGGGCAGGATTGATGGAGCTGGGGCAGGAATGGGGGAGCTGGGGCAGGATTGATGGAGCTGGAGCAGGAATGGGGGAGCTGGGGCAGGAATGATGGAGCTGGGGCAGGAATGGGGGAGCTGGGGCAGGAATGAGGGAGCTGGGGCAGGAATGAGGAA